TTTTACTTAGCAATTGCAGTTCAAGCTCATCTCTAGGATTTTTATATTTCTTGTGACGACACCTAACTTTATACCTTTCTTTTAGAGTTCTAATTAGATTCTGATCAAACCAAGGTGGGTAGTTGTTTTTCTTTGACGATTTGTTGGGGACAAATTTTTTGATAATATCCCGAATTTTCTGGTAGAAAATTTGTAGCATATTATTTACATCTGTCAACCCATCAAGTAGCTTGACCCAATCACAACTCGCTAATTCTTTACAAATACTATCATAGTCAGCTCTATAAAAATTTAATTGTACGTTTTCAGTGTTATAAGGTAATCTTATTTCATTTAATAGCTTAATACTTATGTCAAGAGGAGGATGGTGCCTGTCAACTTTGCTGAGGGGGCAAAGTGCCTGTTCTACTGTGCAGTTTGGTAAATTTGCAATAACCAAATCAAGTGTTCTATTTAAACTCTGATTCTTTATACGACTGTACTGCTTCAAATCATTGACGTTTAAAAAATCAATAAATGACTGACTAACAGTGGAAAGCTCGCATTTCGCAGAATCCTCATCTAACAAGCTCCAATTTATGGAAAATAGATTAAAATCACCCACTATACAATGTAGACACTTCTCTTCCAGGACGCTAGTACATGTGTCATAAAATTTATCATAAGTTACACTTTTTACAGGAGATGGTAAATAAATGGCACAGAAAGCAATTTGATAAATTGAGTGTGAAACTGGCGCTTCGACTAAAACCCATAAATCCTCCAGATCCGACTCCCAAGCTTTTAAACGCTTTGATTTTAATTTCCTAGATACTGCTATTAAAACCCCCCCTCCCTCTTTCTTAGTACTACTGGCAGAAGATCTATCTCTTCTATATACTACATATCTAGGGTCAAAAAGTTCACTACTCGAAACAGAATCATTTAGCCAGGTCTCAGTGAGTATTATTATTTCATAGTTGTTACATAGTATTTGATTATAGAAACCATGTGTTTTGGTCTTAAGACCACTACAATTTTGATAGTACAATTTTAGCGTATCGAATTTTATTAAAAACCCTACCATATAACAGACAATAAGAAAGAAAGGAACAAAAAGAATTACTTAAATAAGTTTTTTTAGAGTTTCTAAACTTTTTACCAGAATATAGTCACTCTCATCGGTCTTCCTCATAAATATTCTACCATTACGCACCCACACATATTTATATCCGCTCTCCTTTGCTTTGAGTCTAGCCGCCGCATGAATAGCCTTATTCACTGGGGATAGATGTTCAATTACAAAAACAGGAGTGGTGTGTCCTATTAATCCAAGATGTGTAGCATTAAGTCTGTTTTGTGAGTTCACCTTGTTGTATTTTGAGGCCATCGCCAGCATTTCATCGCGAATCCTAGGTGAAGCTAGATGCACTATTATAGATCTTGGACGCTTGGATTCGCGATTCATTTTGGCAGTGCGTGTACAATTTAGAATGTCCTTTTCATTCAGAGAGCTACCAATGACTTCACTCAACTTTGTTATTATTGTTTTAAGATTTTCATTTTTTGACTCAGGAACGTTCTGGAGTTCTAAATTACATTGACGGGAGTGTTGTTCTATTTGATTTACTCTCTGAGCTAATGCATGTACAGTTCCTTTCAGTTCTGTATTCTCTTTCTCCAAAGTTGATACTTTTAGTTTAGAGGCTTCATTTTCTTTCTTTATGCCTTCATACTGATCATTAATGAATGTTAAAGATTCCTTAATACTCGACAATTCATCTCTCATTGGTTTAATTTCCTTCGCGAAGAATCCAACCAAGTTTTCTTTAAATCTTTTAAATAGATCGTTCATTTTATCATCCATCACACCTTCTACCACTTGACGGATGTCTTCCATAGAAATGTTCACTTTTTCGGGATCAGACTGTGGCGATCCAATGGCTATTCTTTTGTTTCCTCTTACGGTACTGACATTTCTCACAGGTGTATTATCTTTATTTGCCGTTTTTGGTTGTAGGTGGACACATTCAGGGCATGCCCATGTCGCTAGTAAATCAGAGGTAATAATTTTACGATCAATTATCATACATGCATAATGATATTTTCTTTCACATTTAACGCAAACAATAAATTCGTCACAGTTATCATTTTCGGAAAAGCAACAGCCCCAATTCGCATTAGACATCATAAATCCACTCAAATATAATTAGGTTACGATCAAAAGACAAACCATACGATCTTGTACTCGTGGGTGCAAATTATTTACTATTATATTTTTTGTTATTGCACGGAATTATCGCTGTACTATCAGTATTACCTTATCAGTACTCGGTCGGGGGATGCATTACAAACTAGCCGGGCGTATGCGACTATTAACAGTCTACAGTCCGAGTAAGATCGCAGTTTGCGTATCAGGGAGCTCAGCGCACCGGCACTCACAATTATTCCTCTACCGCTCAATGCGAACAAAAACAAACGAATTCAACTTTTCTTTGTTTAAATATACTTTAAGACTAGGTTTTCTTGAGAATTTTATATCACAACACAACCTTTACGCACTATAATTACGAGATCTTATGCATACTAACTTTAAACGTGATTAAACACTTTCGAAACAAAATATTACTTAGGGAGCACAACTACCGAGCTGCTTCTATGCGAACGTCCAAAATGATATGAAATATTTCCATAATCAACCTTAGCCAATAATTCCGAATATTATAACTTTTACTTTTATGTTACGACATTAATATGGTATTAGGGTTGGACACGGCATCAAGCTAATATTTTGCCTGCTGCTCAGTTCCTGGATGATGTATTGATGTATAAATTAGAGGCAAATAATTCCTTAGCTTTCCTAGATGCGTTAGTCATCCAAAATCCTAACAACACCATAGGTCACACTGTGTATAGAAAACAATGAATCTCACCATCATCCTTCACAAGTTTAATCTTTGTTACAGGGTGCACAAGGGATCTATGACAACAAAAATCTGGCTGTCAAGCTTCAGCATGTCAAGCAGGTTCTGCACGTCAACAAGGTTCGGGTCCCGCGCCTACATCACAGTGACCGAGTGAAGCCGGCCACAGTCAAGCGTGTGCAGTACTACCATATGTCAGAGGTGTCACAGACTAGATTGACTACATCTTGAAGCGAGCTTCTATTAGAACATTCTACAAGCCTCTGAAGAAGATTAGTGAGTTCTTACCATCAATCAAGTGTCATATTCTTCTAAAAGGAGCAGGAGTGTACACCCTTGATGGTGAATGTGGTCTCTCATATATAGGGCAAACGAAAATAACAATTAAAACCCGCGTAAAAGAACATATAGCTGACGTGAAGCATTAAAGTTCAGGGAAGTTTGCAGTTTGTGATCATATGCTAGACGGCCCCAACCAGATAGACATAAATCAGATTTGGTAGATCACAAATCCTCTCGTAGGAACATCAATTCCTATCAAGGATGATACGTGAGACTACTGAAATAAAAAAAAATCCTTATTTAAATAGAGAAGGAGGCTGGGTACTACCACCTGCTTGGGACCCTTTAATTAATGAAATTAAAACTAAACCCAAGCATACCACTGCAAGACTTCAAGACACAGTAAGTTCATTCTGTAGATCAGACCATAAATAAAAATTTTAAATCTGAAGGTATTCCAGGTTAACATTGACATTGGGACGTCAGTCATCTAAGTCCGCCGTGAACATGGGTGCTGGAAAGCACCCAAAACGTCTGGATTTAAAAATCAAAGAAATAAAACGCGATAAAATTGATAAAAGTAGTTGTTAAAAAAAAACTGTATTTGTGAAAATAAAACATATATCTTTAAAATCCCGACTTTTTTTAAAGCAATTCCTTTACCATTTCATTCTTTTAATTGCATATTATCATATCTATATACTTTTATACGTGGGCACCCATGGCCGAAGTGTCTATGTAGAGTGGGCATTCCCCTTTGGCCGTGTTATATGCGTGCCGTGCGCAGCCGTGCGTCGGTGCAGTGTTCCATCTTTTAGATATTTTGCATATTTTAGGGTAATCTACTAATGTAGGTAGGATTTTAGGCGTTTCTTCAAGTTGACAGGGTTTCGGATAATTTGGGGTAAAATCGAAATTCAGGTAACCCTACTTTTTATACCCACCCAATGTAATTTTTTTTAAAGATTTGTCGAAGAGCTAGAAAAATGTAGAATGAAAAAGTTTTTCATTTTGTATATCGGAATATTCATTATTCGTATGAGACTAAGTGTTATTATAATTTGAAAATGAGAACGTCTTTTTCATCACAAACCTCAAGACTTTTAATCGTGAAATGATATTCAAATTTTGAATATCATTATTTCATTCATTACATTTTGAATTTCAAAACTTGCAATGATGTTCTTCTTTAAATATTGAAAATTAGGTGCAATAAATAATGTTTTTTTTTTGATTTTTTACGATAATTTAGTGAGTATTACTACAGATTCTAGGGTTCAACCAAAATCATAAGTGGAAACTCTGGTTCCTTGGTAGTTCATAAGTTATTTAAGAGATGGCGCTGATTTATGTTTATATTTTTGTTCGCACGACTATATCTTGTCATTTATATCGATGGTCAAAGTCCGTGTTCCTTGCGATAAAAACTATTAATAATTCAGGCATTACTCTGCGGTAAGATGCATAATATTAAATGTAGCTTAAGTTTTAATAAAAACTACTTTTACGGAATTTATCCCGCGATCACCCGTGACCATGGGTGCTGGAAAGCACCTGAAACGTCGGTAATGCAGCAGTAGCAGCAGTCCCGTCTCGAAAGAGGACTTCTCCTCCACCTTTTCTCTCCTAGGTAAGGTGAACCAGAAACACTATAATAATAATAATAATCTATCCGTCACTGAGCAAAACCTGGCAGACCGAGTTCGGTACATTCTGCGCTCCAACATATTTGGTGACGCCGAACTTGAACGACTACGACTTGAGACTGTTCCCTCATCGGATGGAAATGCTACGGCTGGGAATGCGGCGCCACTAATGGCGCAGCAAACTGCATATGTTGATGCTGCCGTCAATATTCCATATGTGGTTGATTCAGACGATGATGGAATAGTCCCCCGTGAACTAGAGAAAATGAGAAGCATATTGGAAGAGTCGATGCTGGAAACGCGCAGCATGCCTCTCGAAAATCGACCACGACTTTCGCACATACCCCTTAGCAAGCGAAATCGGGCTGTCGTGTGGGCTCTTAACCCAATGCTGGTGACCTATTTGGAAGCCAGCCGGGATCTTTGCGAGACGGACTCAATTCTTTTTTTGCACCGCACTGACAGTATGCCTTATTACTGGCGCCAAACTTCCCATGGCTGGACGTGCTACTCGACAAAATAGCGCCATTCCAGCCTGGAAAAAGAGAATTGAGGACCGTATCGCAAAGGCAAGGGCCCTTGTCGACAGACTGACAAGCTTCAGGTCGGGTAATAATAGACCGATAGTTGTGCGCATTGTTAGAATGGCGTTTGCTGGGCACAAATATTAGTTTGTCCTGGCCGGATATCACGCAGAAACTAACGGTGCGCATAGATGACCTGAAGCAAAAATCACTGCTTGGGGGAAGCGGATTCGACGATTTAGCGAAAGGTCAAGGCGGTTCAACCACAATCGTCTCTTCCAGAGTGATCAGAAGAGGCTCTATAAATCCTTGGAGCGACTAGATGTATGTGGAGCGGGCCCAGGACCGGATCAGGCTGACGCTGTTGCATTTTGGCGTGGCCTGTGGTCAGAGCCCGTAAACCATAACGAGGGCCCTTGGATGGAAGTTGTGGCGAGCCAGAGTACGAGTGTTACGCCTATGGACCCCGTCACCATAACAATAGAAGACTTGGCTGAGGCAGTCCGTAGGGCCCCAAACTGGAAAAGTCCTGGGCTTGACCCATGGATTGGCGAACGGCCGCCGTCGCGAGTGGACGGACTCAATAAATACGTGATTAAAATTTGATATTACCTAATAACTAGCGGTAAAATTCATGTTAAAGTGTTATACTCAATCTGATTAGACTGTCCTATTATTTTCTTAACGCGAAATAACCCAAAACAGTGAAACATTAAACTAAAAGTGAAGTGAATAAATCTCATTAAAAGAACAAATCTCTGAACTAAATCAAAACAACTACAGAGTGTGACTTTCAAAAACAACAACAAAAATAAACGGTGAACTATACAAATATTAAACTAAACAAAACAAAAATTATAATACGTATTATTTAGTACACTATAACAATAAAAGTGATATATGTAACAACAACAAAACATACAATGACGCTATAATATCGTTTCAAAATAATAACGGACCAACAATGTTTGTAAAAACCTAATATTAACCCAGTTACAGAAAAGTGTAGTAAAATTTATATTAAAAAAAACTCTTGACTAAGTTCTTAAAAGTGATTAGTGTTTCATTACGAATAACAAAATCCGTTAGCGAAAAAATTATTTAAATTACATTCATAAATGAATCTACCTACTTGCAATTAAAGTTATCTGATAGAACTAGTAAGCGATCCATAATTTCGGTCGTAGAATCACAAGGCACCGTGGTGTGGAGACGTAACGCGCTACTAAGCCGTGGTATCGTCGTGGGTTCGAAACTAAGCTCCTACATAACTTTTTGCGATTTATTATAAATTTACAATTACAATCACTGATAATTCTACGGTCATACAAAATATATACTACATACTACAATCAATCAAGTTTGAATCCCGCTTAATCTGAAGACTTATTCGGATTGAAATAAATTGTTGAGACATTTGTTTAATAATTATAATAACAAAATATTGAATTTGAATAATACGTTATAAAAAGCAATTTCAAAATAATAAGTTACACTATGGATGAAAATGTAACAGTCAGAAACCGTAAACGAACAAAATCAATGAATGATTCTAGTACTTCGTCATTATTTGATTGCACTATGACAAGCCTCCCGGACGACACTCGGTCCCTAGATTATAAGGATATAATAGAACTGACTGAGACTATAAAAAAGCTGACCTGTGAATTACAATCTGCACACCAGGAAATAGATAATTTAACATGCGAAAATGTACAACTCAAAACAGACTTAAAGAAGGCAAACAAAACGATCGAATTATACAAAAAAAGTTACTATTGCGAGTCCAAGACTTACACCACGATTAGACCGTAAAAAAGAAAAAGAAAGATTCTTTGAGTAGCCAAATGATCCAACATACAAACATACATTTAACAAATGATATGTTCTCAGACAAGGAAGAAACATCTAAACAGTTTGAAGAAAACACAAAAAATTGCAGCGATATTGTCAGCAAACAAGAATCAATGAAAACTCGCCAAATTATTATTAGAAAACGGAAACTCTGTATTTTAACTAATTGTAGTGTGAAAGGTAAATTACAGGATATTGAATCCACATTTGCTGAACAATTTAACTACTGTCGCTATATCACACAAAACTGTGGAGTATTGGAAATGTTGGCAGGTATTAAAACAAAGCTGCGAAACTATACTATTAATGACTACTGTTTAGTCCTGATAGGAGAACATGACTTTACAAAAACTGTAAATTGTTCTGAGCTTGTCAAATCTATTCAGGAATGTTTACAAAGCATATCTCATACAAATATAATATTATGTGTTCCTACATATATATGCGGAGCCCCCATATTTAATTATAAAATAGAAATGTTTAATAGCTTATTATCCATGAATGTACAATACTATAAATATGCATATATTTTTGATTCGAATTATAATCCCTCGTATGACATGTTTTCTTACAAATCTGGTAAAATCAGCAGTTATGGATTACAGAATATATATAAAAATGTTATGCAACGAATACTAGTCGACATATCAATATTTCCATATAACACGGACACTACGTGTAGCATTGATGAAGCAAGTAAGAATATACGTAAATGCACTGCAAAATCGCCAATTGCAATGAATTCTATGGGTGACGCTCGGCCTGATACACCGAAGTTAAACACCTGTGATGACCATGTAATTGCAGAACAATCTAAAATATTTTTCGTTAACTGTAAACATATAAATATATTACATCAAAACATTAATGGCGTTATAAGTAAGTCAGCTCTTTTAACTTTAAATCTCAATTCTCTTTTGGAACAGGGTATCCTAGTTGACGTAGTATGTTTAACTGAGCACAATATGTTGAAAGGTGACACCAAATTATTATTCATAGAAAACTATATACTTGCAGCCTCTTTTTGTCGTAAAAACCGTCATGGCGGTGCCTGTATTTTGATTCACAATCATCGTGAGTTCAAAACATTAAATTCTATAGAAAAATATGGCGTTTCGGGTATAATTGAGTGTTGTGCCATAGAACTTACATTGCATGATATAATAATAGTATGTATTTACAGACCACCTAGAAACAATACACAAAGATTTGATCAGTTTTTTGCTATATTTAATGACATACTTGCTGCATTGTGCTTCGCAAGGAAAAAAATAGTTATATGTGGAGATTTCAATATAAACATTTTAAAAAAAGAGCAAAGAGGCTAACATTCTAAATCAAACAATTATTGGCTATAATCTTAAATTAGCCATTAATAAGCCAACGCGTAATGTAAGTGGATCTTGTTTAGATAACTTTATACACAATATTAGAGGAAGTAAATATAATATTTTTGAATTCGCTCTGTCTGATCACTCAAGCCAAATGTTAACTTGTAAAGTCAAAGAAACTTGTTCTCTCCCACATTGGTTAATAAAATGTAGAGATTACAGTAATGAAAACATGAAAAAATTCAATGAATGCTTAAAATCACTTACTTTTAACGAAATTTACAATACAACTGATCCAAATTATGCATTCGATTATTTTCATGAATTATTCATATTATTTTATAATTTATGTTTTCCATTTATATTAATAAAAAGAACACTTCGGAAAAAACCTTCCTGGATATCGAAAGGTATAAGAATATGTGCAAAACAAAAAAAGAAAATTACTTTGGCAATATAGAAAACATCCGACAAATCACAATAGAAATTTGTTCAAATGTTACACAAAACGTTTAAACAAAATAATAAAGTTAACACAAAGGGCACAGAATGACTATAAAATCAAAACAGCTTCAAACAAATCTAAAGCTACTTGGTCAATCATCAATTATAGTAACAATAATGTGATTAAAGAGGAAATCAGGCATATTAATAATAATGGGATTATCATTGATGACCCCAAAGATATCGCAGAGTTATTTAACAATTATTTCATAAGTGGAAATGACAGTTCTAAGAACAATTAATGTTAACTGCAAATTACCGAATACTTATAACTCATTTTTTATGAACCCAACGACTCCTTTCGAAATTAATAATATAATTAATTCATTAAAGAATACAAATAGCACAGGTTATGATGACGTTAGCACAAAGGTATTAAAAAGTGTATCAACCATCATCTCACCAGTTTTATCCTACATCGTAAATTTAAGTATAGCCTCTGGAATATTCCCAAATAAATTAAAAAAAAACGGTAGTTCAACCTGTATTTAAGAAAAATGATAAGAGTGATGTTGCAAATTATAGACCCATAGCACTCATACCGATATTCTCTAAAATTTTTGAAAAGGTAATAAGTCAAAACCTTAATGATTTCTTCGAAAAATATAAAATCTTCACAGAGAAACAGGTCGGATTTCGGAAAAATAAAAGTATAAATTTAGCTGTCTTTCAATTTCTACGTACTGTAATGTCAAGCCTTAATAATAATCACTTAGTATCTGCTCTATACATGGATTTAACTAAAGCTTTTGACTATGTTAATCACAGTATCCTCTTAAGTAAATTAGAAGCGTACGGGATCCGAGGAAATATCCTTAATCTCCTAAAAACTTACCTAATAAATCGGAAACAATGTACACAAATTACGTGCATATGCTCAAAAACTTATAGACAAATAGTACATTCATCGTCATATCGTGAAGTGACTTAAGGAGTACCCCAGGGAAGTATTCTTGGTCCATTATTATTCCTTGTTTATATAAACGATTTACCAAATTATATAAATCAAGATATGGTATTATATGCAGACGATAGTACAGTGATGTTTACAAGCACAAGCAAAAATAAAATGATATCTGACATAAATCAAACACTAGACATTATAATTCAATGGTTGTCAAATAATAATTTATTAATTAATCTAAATAAAACAAATTTAATGACATTCAGAAATATAAAAAATAATTTAATTAATCTTAATATATGCTACAACGGACAAAAAATTAATGTAGTCGAAAATGCAAAATTTTTAGGCCTCAATCTCGATTCAAACTTAAAATGGAAATCTCAAGCAGAAGATATTTGTACTA